AACTAGGTCGAGTCGGCTCCGTCGACTCAATGCTATCTCTTCTCAACCAGATGCACTCCTCCGCCTGCCCCGTCGACGAGTCCACCTTCCTCATCTTCCTCGAAACCTACGCCAAATTTGAACTCCACGCTGAAATCAACGCCGTCATCCACCTCATGGAACGCGACTTCGCCCTCAAACCCCGCACGCGCTTCTACAACGTCGCCCTCAACCTCCTCGTCAAAGCCAACAAGCTCAAGCTCGTCGAAACGCTGCACTCCAAGATGGTGGCTGACGGCGTCGCGCCTGACGTTTCTACCTTCAACATCTTGATTCGGGCCCTCTGCAAGGCTCACCAGCTGCGGCCTGCCATTCTCATGCTGGAGGACATGCCAAACCACGGCCTCAGGCCCGACGAGAAAACGTTCACCACGCTCATGCAGGGATTTATCGAAGAGGGTGACGTGGACGGCGCGTTGAGGATTAAGGAACTCATGGTGGAGTCCGGGTGCACGCTAACTACTGTTTCCGTGAATGTTTTGGTGAAAGGGCTTTGCAGAGAGGGTAGAATTGAAGAAGCTTTGAGATTTATTCATGATGAAGAAGGGTTTTCCCCTGACCAGTTTACGTTCAATGCTTTGGTGAGTGGTTTGTGTAGGACCGGGCATATCAAACAGGGTTTGAAGATGATGGATTTTATGCTTGAGAAAGGGTTTGATTTGGATGTTTATACTTATAATTCTTTGATCTCTGGGTTGTGTAAGTTGGGTGAGATTAATGAGGCTGTTGAAATTCTCAACCATATGATTTCGAGGGATTGTTCGCCGAATACCGTGACTTTTAACACACTGATTAGTACTCTGTGTAAGGAGAATCATGTTGAAGCGGCGACCGAGCTTGCCCGTGTTGTTACTGGCAAGGGGTTTTTGCCTGATGTTTGTACATTCAATAGTTTGATACAGGGTTTGTGTTTGACGAGTAACCGAGAGATTGCGATGGAGTTGTTTGGGGAGATGAAGGAGAAAGGGTGTGAGCCGGATGAGTTTACGTATAGTATATTGATTGAGAGTCTGTGTTCTGACAAGAGACTTAAGGAAGCATTGAAGTTGCTGAAAGAGATGGAGAAAAGTGGTTGTGCTAGAAATGTGGTGGTATATAATACTTTGATTGATGGTTTGTGCAAGAGCAATAGGATTGAGGAGGCAGAGGATATTTTTGATCAGATGGAGATGTTGGGTGTATCCAGAAGTTCTGTGACGTACAACACCCTTATTAATGGCCTTTGTATGAGCAAGAGAGTGGAAGAAGCTGCTCAGCTAATGGATCAGCTGATAATGGAAGGGTTAAAGCCGGATAAATTCACTTATACTTCAATGCTTAAGTATTTCTGCCAACAGGGGGATATAAAGAAGGCAGCTGATATTGTACAGAATATGACTTTGAATGGGTGTGAACCGGATATTGTAACTTATGGGACCCTTATTATGGGGCTGTGTAAGGCGGGAAGAGTAGAGATTGCAATTAAGCTCCTTAGATCTCTTCAAATGAAAGGTATGGTCTTGACTCCACATGCTTATAACCCTGTGATTCAAGCACTCTGCAGAAGGAAAAGAACAAGCGAAGCCATGGGGCTTTTCAGAGAAATGATGGAAAAAGGTGATCCTCCGGATGCTGTATCATACAAGATTCTTTTCCGTGGCCTCTGTAATGGTGGAGGACCGATACAAGAGGCTGTTGATTTTACGGTTGAAATGTTGGAGAAAGGAATATTACCAGAGTTCCAGTCATTTGGTTTCTTGGCTGAAGGTCTTTGCTTTTTATCAAGGGAGGACACCCTTGTCCGACTTATCAATATGGTGATGGAAAAAGGAAGATTCTCTCAATCCGAAACATCTATTATCATAGGCCTCCTCAGGATTCAGAAATTTAATGATGCATTACCAATCTTGGTGCTATTTTGGATAGGAAAAAGCCCAGAAGATTTTGAGTACTGAAAGGCTTTCCTGCAAGTGCACTTGGGTGTTGTTTTAAAGAAGTGTAATGGAAGGGAAATCACCTTATTTTGAAGGAGCTGAAACATACTGATAGTGTCCAACAGCCCAGGCTCGGAGCTATATTGCACACATTTCAACACTGGTGTTGGTTTCATCTGTCCTAAACCTCGTTGATAATATCCACTTCTCCAGTTCCTTGTGTGTTTCCCGTTTCAGAGGGAATGTGAACATGTAACTTGTAGCTATCTTCATATGAACATTACTTAATGGATTTATGGCATAAGGAGTTTGCTGACTTGTTATTTTAACTATTTTAGTTTCTAGGTGAGAATTGCAGGCTTTTATTTGACTTGGACGTAGATAGACTCAGTAAGAGTATAGTCGGTCTCCCACAATTTGTATATGGTTAAATACCTCAAGCCATTTTACTTCATATTTTCAAAGTAGAATATTGCTTCCTATTCAAGTAAACTCAAATTCCATCTCAT